GTGACCTCACTCGAAACTCTAACGAATTATAACAAGTAGGTAATTACGTTGTTTGATTGACAAATAAAAATATACGCGTCCAATATTTTTTGATAATACGAGAATAATTTGACGGATTAACGGTGGATTCGACCAAACTAGAGTAAATAACTAATAATCTCAGAATAAATCGTCAGATTTCCCATACTAAAACTGTCAATGTGCCAGTTAAACCATGAGTTATTCTCGGATAAAAGTTTGGTCGAATCGGGCCTAAATGTTTTTTTAGGCAACTAAATAGTTACCTGACAATGTCAACGAGTCTGTGGATGATGACCGGCTCAAAATTTCCATTGTAAGCCTTCAAGCAGCCATCTTCTATTGCAATGCTTAACTGAAACCAAAATAATTAAATAACAATACAATGATTTCCATAATATCCGGTTGGTAGCGGCCTGCATCCAGCGCCTTCCTGCTACCTTTATGGGGTCGTTGTTCCACCTAGTGGTACTAAGTAGTTCAAGCAAATACATACCTTATCCCAAATGCCAGTGGCTCGGATTTCCCTTAACAACCATGGAAGCATGGCGTTGGAAAACCGTCGGTCCATGGCGGTGTACCCGAGATACGTCACGGATGTAAGCTTGGTCTTCATTGTGACGTCACTGAAAAAAAAGGATTTTCTTTAAAAGATCTTATCTAGTCGGCGAACTTCGTACCGCTTATGTTCATCAGAAATAGTTAAATATTTTTCCTGAATCTAAATTGGCGCCCAACGTGTGGCTCAAATATTCTTAATATTATTACAAATACAATTATATTCAGCAATAAAGGCAAACAAAGAAATAAGATAGTTATAATAGTACTTATAGATGTTTTTATATTTTAGTTAAGTATCTACTTAAATCAGTTATCCACTTAAAAAAATCACAATTTCGTTCTTTCTACATTACTTAATTCGTACTATTTATTAATGCATTTTTATGAATTATCAAAATCAGGAGATACTTTAGTATCTTATCTATTAAATTAAAAGAATTTTAGGCAAACAAAAGCATTAAAACAGTTCAAATATTAAAAACAAAACAATTTTGTATGACTCATAACTACCTAAATTTATTTCTCTTGTATAAGTCAAATACAATTTATTTACTACAAAATACGAACCTATTAATACTCCGTATTAGGAAAAACTTATTATTTAGCACCTTTGTTGAATAACAATCCTGACCTGTTATTCAATTCGACGAAACAAAAAACACTGAAAAAAATCAATAACACCAACAATTGAACACTTTTTGATGTAAAACTTTTGAAACTACGTCGATTTTCACAAAATTTCACATTTTCCTACGTAATTTTCATTCACAAACCACAATTTCGAATAAGTTCTAGAATTCTTGCTATTTTGTGATCATCTCAACAACTACCTAACGATGGGAAAAGGGAAAAACAAAATCGGTACTCGACCGCTTACTATCTCTTTCTAATCAATTAAAAAGAAAGGAAGGGGAAGAGGGATGTACTTGCAAGTTACAGGAAAACTGGGTTGAAATCCGCAGTCGATCTAAAAAAATCTTTATTTTGTAGATTTACAGTTCATTTTCATGTTTCAGCTGATTCACAGCTGCTTTTAAGCGTGTTACAGCCATCTAGCGGTAAACTTCAGAACTTGTTTCAACTAAATACGAATTAGTCTGTTAGTTTGAACATAGATGGCACTGTACTCACAAATCTTTACGAATTTGTGCGTCAAAACTTTGAACAACAGTGTTGAATATTTTTTAAATAAACAATATTTATCATTTTAATCAATATTAATTTTAATTTATTACTCTTTGACTCAACTTTTAATTAAAATAATTTACTTGTAGCAGTGACATCTATCGCCAGTTCTTGAAACTTTTCTTTTTGGCATCTCTCAAATTATTTTTCTGACATAGTTACTTAAATATTTTCTAGATGGCGCCGACTCCATGTTTTAGATGAATGAATTTCCCTTTCATCAAAATTTTATTTAGAGGTCCCAAAATAGAATTTAATGTGACAAAAATGGTGACCCTGGAGTTACTACTGCAGGATTACATTTTAAAGTTTTATTTTTTGATATTAATTTGAAAGTGGTGAGTGTTTTATGTCATTAATTCAAAACTTAAAGGTATTTTTACCCAACTATTAATTTTAGCGTGTTTTTAGTGTCTAAAGGAGATTTTGAGGTAGGTATAGTGAATTATAGTGTACTATTTTATTGTGTATATTCGCTAATAGCTCACGTGTTAATCCTACATCGTATTGTTGTAAGGTTTCTCTTTCATTGAACTCGTGATTGTATCGATTTCTTACAACATACAACCTTCCTAGATTCAAAACGTTGATTTTTTCATAATTTTTCAATGAAATCTGTCTCCAAACACAATTTTATGAAAGAACGTGATATTATTTCGCTAAAAAGATTAATTAATGATAGAAAAAAAGGCGGTAATTTGTGTCATTTAGCCTCATTTCTATAAATAACCTTGGTTGCGTTAGTTCAGGAAAATTCCGCGCGACGACAGCGACACACAATTTTTAATCTGTAAGGGTAGTATCAAATTTATTACCATAGAATAGAAGGTAGGGGTGAAAGTTTGCGAGAACCCTCTCATTTCTTAATTGAAATTAATTAGTATTTTTTAATTTATCGTGATTAGTAATATTATTGTTTTAATAAAGTTTTTATGATGTCAGAAGAAAGTTTAGTTCAGTGTTTTGATTAACAAAAGTGGACAGATTAAAAAAAAAAGTAAGTAATAAGTGTAATTTGGTTGAATTGTTAAAATTATGGTAATTTTTTTCTTGGAAAAATATGTTATAATAATCTTAAAATAAAATAATAAACATTTATTTACTTTATAGGTAGGTACTAATTATTATGTTACACATTATTTGCGCTAATTGCTTAATAATTTAAGGAAGGTTTTCTACTACAAATAACACTGAGGTAAATGATTCCTAACAAGAAATATGTACTATATTTTTATGCCCATTTTCACCATCAATCCCTAATTTTTAAGTGACCCACATTAAAACAAAATTCCTACCAGGGGTCACTTAAAAAATAGGCATTACTGTGAGACCTTTTGGGAGACTATAAAACATAAAATTTATATTGTTTTTTAAATAAATTTAAATAACTTCTAAGGCGTATTATTACTCGCTAAATTACTTTAATAGATAATTCAAGCCTACAAGTTGATTTTCACAATAAGTGCTCCTTCCACGAATCGAATCCTGGTACTAGAGTCTGACGCCCGTATTCACAAACATTACTATGAGGTCTCACAGTTACGTGGGACGCACAGGGTGACACACGAACCAATCACAGAGCTCTATTCAACGCTGTGCGTTCGATTTGCTGCTTCACTTAAGCAAGCATTTTGAGTCTTTATTAACAAGATATACGTCATTTGGGCTTATATTATCGTTCGTGTATTAATCCAATAAAGGATTATCGTGGTGCCTTGTGGCAGCGTGGGACGTCCACTACAAGGTGGACCGACGACATCGTAAAGGTAGCAGGGAAGCGCTGGACGCAGGCCACTACCAATCGATCAACGTCGAAAGCATTGGGGGAGGCCTATGTTCAGCAGTGGACGTCCTATGGCTGAAATGATGATGTGGTATACCTTGTAGGTGGTGCTATATTTAGGACATGTCTAAATAAAGTACACGAAAGTACTTACTAGATAAATTGATTTAGAAATATCCTACACTAGCTTTCCGCCCGCGGCTTCGCCCGCGTGGAATTTTGCCTATCACAGAAAAACTTTATAGCGCGCGTCCCTGTTTCAAAAACCGGGATATAAACTATCCTGTGTCTTTTCCCGGGACTCAAACTAGGTACTTATCTCTATGCCAAATTTCATCAAAATCGGTTCTGTGGTTTAGGCGTGAAAGCAAGACAGACAGACAGAGTTACTTTCGCATTTATAATATTAGTATACCTACTTAGATAGATTATTCATCAATCTGTAAACATAGAAAGTAGCTTTGGAAACCTTACTTTTCGAAAGCAAAGCTTTTTGAAAGCCCAACTTTAAAACCCAATTAATTTTCGAATAACATGCACTGTGAAAAATAATAATGTCGTATAGTGATTTTAAAGTTAATTTTTTTAACCGACTTCAAAAAAAGGAGTAGGTTCTATATTCGGCTGTATGTATTGTTTTAAAGTTCGAGTTCACCTCTTTGGAATGGAACACGGAACCGACATGGAACCGGAACGGTTTTAAATTTTGAACTTCGAATATTTTTATTCCTGTACCTCTAGTAGGAAAAACTTTCGAGTTCGTTTCGTTGCGTATTCAAAGTGTCATCGAAAAATTTTGTATGAAAAATTAAACAGCGCCCTCTATATTATAGCCGCCCTAGGGGGCGCTGTTTAATTTTTCATACAAAATTTTTCGATGACACTTTGAATACGCAACGAAACGAACTCGAAAGTTTTTCGTACTAGAGGTACTGGTCTTGAAACTTTAATTTCGAGTCTAGAAATTCGTAGTGGCCTGCATCCAGCGCTTTTCTGCTACATTTATGAGGTCGTCGGTCCACCTTGTGGGGACGTCCTACTCTGAGCTTTTCGGTACGGCCTTTGTGGAATTCATTGGGGGAAGCCTATGTACACACGCCCACACTGTTAACTATCCATTTCCGTTTTTGCTCTCGCTCTAATCAAATGGCGATTCTTTGCGATAGAACGAGATGACATGACTTTTTATGGGCAGTAGCATACTGTTGGCGATAAATTAGTACGTCGTCGTGGACGTCCTATGACTGAATGATTTTTTTATGCATAACAAGGTATTTGACCATAACCGCACCTGGTGTTAAGTAGGATGCAGTCTAGGATGGTACATATCTGCCTAGTAAGTGCCTATTCACTCTCGCCTTGAAAGGCCCGGATTATAGTCTTCGAGAAAGAGCAGCAGGCAGCTAATATTCCTAGCTGACGATAAATTTTCTTCTTCACTTTCCAGCCCAGCGATGGAAGACGGGAGGGACCTGAACTCCTCAACGATATCCTTCATTGAATCCAGCCAGGAGGACTGCGACCGATGCAGCCATTTCTTCAAGAGGAACGGCCTAAGCACCAGCTGTGAAGCCGATGTATCAGCCATCGAATGCCAGTGGTGAGTACTAAAGCCCGGTCTGTGAGCACGTAGAATTTTGTCCAATGACCCCAAAGCTACCCATCCCTATCGCTCGCGCGTAATTATATTGCTGTCGCGACTGTGCGACGGGCGCCCGCAGTGAGTGTGCGAGCGCGACAGCAACATAATTACGCGCGAGCGATAAGGATGGGTAGCTTGGGGTCATTGGACAAAATTCTACGTGCTCGCAGACCAGACGTGTTTCTTTTAAAGGATAGAAAATCTTTATTTGACACGAATACAAATGAACCAAGATAAAAAAACTAGGTCTTCTTCTTCTTATCGAATCGACAACAAACCTACACAGTGTCAGCCCAAAACTCCGCTACAAGAGTGGCGTTGTCAGCAGCATTCATTAAATCCTTCTGCGTGCAGTTGCTCGGGCACTCAAGGCACATCATGTGCTTCATCGACTGGGGAACAAAACCTAGGTGATACGTATTTAGTTATGGTATTTTTGTGCCAAAAAGGGGCGCCATTTAGAGACATGGCGTGCACGCGTGTCCCGAAACTGGTTTTCAGTGGTGGCTCACCACACCAGCCACCAGCTATAGTATAACGGGACTATTCTCACCTCTCGTTCCCACCGCTGCAACTCCTGTGTAGCCAGGATCTACAGCTTGACCGCCAATAACCCAACCAGTGAAGTTTAAGATGATCCAGATTAGTAAAGTCTAAATAATAATTTACTATATCCTTTTTTCATAAGGATTTTCTCTGTAGAGAGACTTGAAATACCTATATCCTTTTTTCATAAGGATTTTCATGTGTATTTTGAATTGAAATGTAATTTGGTGAAATAATACTAAGTTATTTTTTGTTCCATTTTGAAATCGAACCAAGGACCTCCTAATCAAAAAAAACCCAATTCTAACCACTGGACCATGAAGAAAATCTGTAAAAAAAATATCCTTGAAATATAATGTTTCCTGTGATAAGTATTATAACAATTTCGCGTGTATTTTTTGGAGTATTTCGCATTAATTACATTAATATACACGCATGATTAAAGTAGGTACAGTCGGTGACACATTATATTGTTCATTTTGTTCTAAATTCTCACCTATTAATAAGTGTTTAGAGGTGCCACAGTGTTCAATTAGTTTGTGCTGACGTGTACAATGGTGTACAAAAGTGTTAAGCTTCAACCACGCCAACGCGTGCAGATCGCCATCACCGGCGCGATCGTAGACCAATGACAGGTCGCGCCAACTGTCATAGGTCGCACGACCAGTACCTCTAGTAGGAAAAACTTTCGAGTTCGTTTCGTTGCGTATTCAAAGTGTCATCGAAAAATTTTGTATGAAAAATTAAACAGCGCCCCCTATATTATAGCCGCCCTAGGGGGCGCTGTTTAATTTTTCATACAAAATTTTTCGATGACACTTTGAATACGCAACGAAACGAACTCGAAAGTTTTTCGTACTAGAGGTACTGNATTCGAATCGTTTGCGTATTCGAAAAGCCATCAAAAGATAACTACAACAGCGCCCTTGTGAACGTGTCGTAAAGTGAACTTAGTATGAGAAATAGTTGCACGAAACTTATTTTGAGAATCAAAATTGTCAGGTTTTCGTTTAATTCGAAGGTTAAGTATCAAATTTTGTCGAATACGCAAACGATGAGTTCGAATAATCTTAAGTACTACGCAAGCAATGTAAGCTGTTTACATTATGACGCCCACGCTTCCCTCGTCCCAAGCCGCCTCTGTGGTCTAGTGGTAAGACCACCTGCTTCAGACGCAGAGGTCCCGGGTTCGATTCCCAGTGGGAGCAGATTTTTCTGTTCGGTTTGGTTGGTGGTAGGGCTTGTTCTAAGTCCGCCTGGCTAGCTACCACCATCTTACCTAAGTCTGTCGCCATAACAACAATGTTAACAGCATTATTGTGTTCCGGCAGTTAGAGGTAAGATAGCCAGTTCCTCTGTGGTTGAGGATTCCGGGTGAAGCTCGCTTCCACCTTCGGCCTGATCGTCACTTACCATCAGGTGAGATACAGGCCAAGAGCTTCACGTTGTAGATAAAAAAAAATTGGTGTGGCGCGTCGTCGTGGATGGAAATATCTATAGCAGTAATTTTAATCTACAGTGGCGCCAACTCATCATCATCATTAACAGCCCTTTACAGTCCACTGCTGAACTATGAGCCTCTACATATAGTGGAGGGTTTTGCCATGATCCCCACGCGCATGCTTTGCAGGCGGGTTGGAGATCGCAGTTTAAAATATTGATGTTTTTCAGAGAGCGCTGCGGCCCGTTTTCTGTTTGATGTGTAGTCCCTAAGTCGCCTCTTACGACACCCGCGGGAAGAGTAGGGGTTGGTGACAAATGTATTCTACTCTGCTGTCACCATGCGGCACGGCACGGTGCCAACTGATGAGCGCTAAAACGTCTCATTATACATAACACTTTTCGACCTGTCTGTACGTCTATTTAGCACAGTTCAAGGTCGCAGCGAGGTCATAGACAATTCCGGTTTTTTCCAGTTAAAAGTTTATCAACACAAAAATTAACTCATTTGAGTGTGCCAAAATGTTTTTTAGTTTCGGTTAAAAATAGAATTAGCGACTTTTATGGGTCCAATGTTTAACAACTTTTTAATATCAGATTTATTTTAATAACTAGCACAGTTTAGAAACTCGTGAGCACGTGAAATTCAGTTTTATAATTTTTCCTCAAAATCCGTTCAGTAGTTGTCGGCCGTTTGGTGTAGTGGTTCGAAACGGACTACTATTCCGGGGGTTGCGGGTTCGATTCCCGCACAGTACAAACATTTGTGTGCATGATCATATTTGTTTGTATTGGACTGGGTGTTTTCTATGTATGTACCTACCTATTAACAAAAAAAAGTAAGTATTTAAGTATGTTTATTATATCCGTTGTCTAGTACCCATAGTACCTACAAGCTTTGCTTAGTTTGGGGCTAGAAACGCTGTGTAAAATGTCCAAGGATATTTATTATTTTTATTATTTAGTTTTAAGCATAGGATAGTTTATATCGCGGTTTTGAAGAGGACATGCGAGTGATAGAAACTTTTTTTGACAGTGCGAAAAAAACGTAACGATCGGGATATATCCCGATAACTAGCTATAGCTAGTTAGTATGAAATATGAATTTATTGTGAAAATACGTTTAAGAGACGTAGCACACTTATCAAACCGAAAAAGGACCGTGACTGTATCAACTCAAGGCGGTCAGTATTCTTTGTATGAAACTTTATACTCAAACGTGCACTTATCTGCACCGTTTACACCCCTACCTATTCACAAACGATGCTTGCTTAAGTGAAGCAGCAAATCGACCGCACAGCGTTGAATAGAGCTCTGTGATTGGTTCGTGTGTCACCCTGTGCGTTCACGCGCAATGTGAGACCTCATACCTCGCGGTTGACAGCTCGCGAAAGGCGATACGGTGTTGATCCCTTTCCGAGTTGATAAGTCTGCTATGACCTTAAAGCAGCTGGTGATTATCATTCTGTAATATCTCGTTCGATAACGTTAATCTTGGAAACAACGAGTTACTTGTCATCTGACACTATCCTATCACTATTGACAGATGCCAAGGATTTCATTTCTTACGTTGTTTTTGTGCGAATCTGAACAACATGATTTGCAAAAATTTACATTTTAACCAAAATCAATTCTTCATTTAGGCTGGGGCGCACCAAACAAACGTCAAAATCCGTCTAACTCCATACAAAAAGCACAGGTTAACGTTAAAGTTAGGTGGTGCAACTTATCCTTAAAATAGTTTTTGACAAAGTTCTACTAATAATCGTCCAAATGCGAATCTGCCTCGCGTGCCCGTCGTATTTCACTTTAAGCACCCGCCCAAACAGCACTGCACGAATAGCACCTGGCCTATTCCACTTAGAGCACCTATAGATATTTTAGATAGGTAAGTAGGTTTCACAATTTGACATGTAATGAATATTATAAATTTTCTTATTCTTATGTAATTTTCGCGGAAACCAGAGACAGATTTTTATAAAACCACGACTTACCTACTACAAGTACCTATTAACTTTGACTGTAACAATACTAAATGGGACTTAGAACAAGTGTTCCTTGATTGATAGCTATTAACATTGAACAGATAATTACGTGATTTTCCTCATTTGCAAGTATTTCCACTGTTCATTGTTCTGTGATACCTAATTTAGAATAACAAGTACAACTGGATTTATTTAGATCATTCTGACTCATGTAGGTATAACTAAAGCATAAGTAGGAAAATTCTAATAAAACTATTGTAAACTAGCTTTCCGCGGCTTCGCCCGCGTGGAATTTTTCGGTTTTTTATATTAAGGTAAACGGCTACTAGTTCGTGATAGTACGTAAGTTCGTAAGTTTTTTTTCTAGCTCAAATAATAAGCAAATGGAATATTATTTATAAAAATTCTTTATTACTACAAAAACTCTATTATTTAAGCTATCTAAAAAACCAAGTACCAACATTGTGGCGCCAAAAATGAGAGCAATACGAAGCTTCAAACTCTCAGAGAGCCAAAAACAGCCGTGCGGCGTGCAAATGTTGCTCTCACAGTAAGGTTAGTGCTCCAACTTCTTAAGCTTATAGAAAGGCGAAGAAACGTCCATTTGCATAAAACTTGTAATAGTGGTTTCATGTGTTCCTTGACAATTGATTTGGCTTAGAAAAAAGTTATATGAAAACGTAGAATTCCTTTAAAATTGCGATTATTTGACTCACGAAATAGCGTACATATTATTTTTCGGGTGTCCCCTGTTTCGTGATACTACCGAATCAAGGATATTATGGATAATATTTTGATGCTTGGTTTTTAAATAATTATTTATGATAATTTCTAATGGTTATATAAATATTTTCACATATTGTTAGAATTAACAAATCAAAATATTATACTAGACTCACCTTATTTCTTATGAATATTTCAGGTAAGTAAAATCGTCAATTTCACATATTTTTTTATTCTAAATTTTTGCTATCGTTTTTAAATTTA